TGAAGGATTTATTCATTCATAAACTCCTGTGAAAGCTACTGTGAAGAAATCTAGTCTACCTATATCTAAATTTATAATGATTATAAATATTATCTAAATATGTAATAACCTTAACATTGAATTGTAAACATAAATTTAAATCCTGTTGACAAATACGTTATAAAACTATTTAAGCAAGAATTGTTCGTACTGGAAAGTAATCCTTTAAAAGGTATTCTAAAGCAAATTCTATGAGATGCGTACTTAAGGAAGTAGTAAAGAAGAGTTTTAGAATACGTATCGTTGAAACTAAGCGCAAAAAAAAATATGATAAGTGTTAAAAAAATTATTTCCTTACATTTATTTTATAACAACCCAGTTACAATTTTTAAATAATATTAAAAAAAATCTTTGTTTTATTCCCTTTTCAGAAATATTCAGAAAAAAATAAGTATATTTAAATGAGCACCAATAAGTAACGTATTTTACGATTAAAATAAAAGGTGCTCTGATTTGAAATGGACCGAATAGGATATTAATTATAAATTGACTTAGATCTTCGATTTAAAAAAATGCCTCAGCTAAAAAATTATGTCATATTTGAGAAAGTATTTTACGAAGACGCTCTGTAAATAGAAAAGAAATAATGCGTAATACAGTAACTTTGATCTTAATTTTTGTGATCCTTAACCGAATAAAATCGAATTACCTTAAAAACTCTTTTTAGTATAATTAACGGAAACTTGTGAAACTATCTTTCAAATTAAACTGTTCTGAGGAAATTGTTCTGTAAAATGTATAGCATTTAATTCCGTCAGAATGAAATGTCGTTTAAAAATGTATTCTTTTCACATACTTAGACTCTGAAATATTGCAAAAAAAAAAAAAAAAAAAAAAAAAAAAAAAAAAAAAAAAAGAAAATATGTACATTCGTAGCTATTGACGATGTAATTACAAAATGTTTACATCCGGTGTCAAAACCCATTGATCTTAATGGCAAGTACTGAATATTTTGGGCTTCACAAAGGGATCGCTAGTGCTTCAAAGCAATATATGGGCAAAACCTAGTTATAAATATCTAAATATGTAATGACCTTTTACTTCCTCCCTCTATGGGTTCCTCCACTCATGTCTGGGTCGGAAGTCATTTCGACGGTGTAAATAATACTGTCCGGGATTGATAAATGTCCAGGGTTCTTAAATGATAATGATTGTCAATGTAGTCAATTTCGTAGCTGAATGCATCGGGTGCTGTAGAAAAGATTTTTGAACTGCAGTTCAAACCCACTATAAAGAACCGTGCTATGTAAAGCACACACCTTTTAAACCTGTCTAATTCCCTACACACATTATATAATTTTTGTACTTAATATATTACCTCATCGATCGGCCAAGGACCGCGGTTTAGCACCAGCTGTGGATGACCACGTCCTTTATAATTTCGCAGTAACGATTGGTGACTGGCGACTGTTGTCGAAATTTCCGCCAACGGGTCGACGAGATAATACGTAAATATTTTATACTGTCTAAAGGAATCGGATACAACTAATTATGGGGTATATTTTCGATTGAAATGCTTTTCTAATTTTCATATTTTCCCAGAATTTCTACAAGGTTTAAGTAAAGAATTACTAACGCTTCTAGAGTTGCTATTGATAACTGGAACTGAGGTTAAAGTCTGGCAGTAGGCTATCGCTGCGTCTTAAGCTCTACTACAAGCTCTACTACAAAATATGAAGAAAGTTTAAAATAACCTTTGTCCCCTCCAAATTGGTACGTATATTGTTTATTGGTACGTATTATTGGACTATTACTCCCTTGAAATTGGTACGTACATTGTTTAACCATCATCGACCGATTTACAGGCTGCATGGAAGTCATCACATTGCCATACATCACTGCAGAAGTTTAAGGCAAAGCCTTTTATGAGCATAGGATTTGCAGATTTGGCGTCCCATATAAAATTATTACGGATCAAGGAACACAATTTCAATTAAAGTTGTTCAGGAGTTTGGTTTTAAAGTGGGGGGCTAATATCCTTCGCACTACAGCGTACCATACCCAATGCAATGGGAAAATTCAGAGGCTTCATAGAACGTTGAAGACTGCTATAAAAGCGCATAATAATGCTCAATGTACTGAAACACTACCAACAGTTCTGTTGGGTCTTAGATCTGCTTTACGATGTGACACAAACCACTCGATTATTTAAATGGTATATGGAACAAACATTAAACTACCTGATGAATTTTTTGATCCACCCAATTTCAAAGTTGACCCTACTACTTTTATGGGTAAGCTGCTAAACTACATAGATAACTTAAAACCGACAAAAACACGGTGCGCTACCCATTAGAAAGGTTTTGTCCACAAAGATTTCATGTCATGCTCCCATGTTTTTGTGAGAATAAACAAAGTGAAAAAAACCACCTGAACCAACTTATACGGGACCATTTCAAGTATTTGACAGAAATAAGAAATATTTTTATGTGCTCGTTCAAGGCACAACAGTTAATATGTATGTTGACAGACTGAAGCGCGCATACATGTTAGCTACTGATTTTGATGCTGTTCCTGACAAAATGATTGTAGATAACAAAACTAACCAATATTCAAACGAAAAGTTTTCCCAAATTATAGACGACAGCAAAACTTGCAGCCAAGACCCGTTCCAGTGGACAGCTAAAATTGCCCGTCTGGTTTCGAGATTAATCCTACAGTCTCTCCTTTCCTCACCACGTATACTTAGTATCGTAACGTAGTTACTAGTGAGGGCGTAATGTCAGCAACTACTCTGTTAAAAGAAAGAGGAAGAAGGAGGAGAAGAAAACAGTTATTAATTCGAGCGTTTTGGCAACAGAGAAACACCAGAAGAAAATCGTAGAACTAGCATTTTTATTTAGTACTTTAACTCAAACTCGATGCTTTGGAAGTTTTTGAATCAGCTGTAATCGAATATTGTTGTTTAAATAATTATCCTTTTAAACTAAAAATCCAAATAATATTATATCAATATAAAAATAAGAAAAGCTAAGTCATGTCTATGATTATTTCTACGTGATGCATGGTTTATTAAAGAAGACGTTAGTTTTTTCTAGCAGCTATCCAGAATGTAATCCAGCATCAAGAAAATCACCAAAAGGGTATGTCTTGAAATTTTTTGAGCCCTTATATTAATGGTTTTAACACAAATTGGAGTATATACTATTTTATTTCAAAGACACGCAATAATTTGCAACCTTCTGATATAATTACCGCAAAACATCTATCTACATTTCAACATAATATCCGGTAGCAGACCATTGCAGGCCGAGGTTAAGCGAATAAGGGATCCTCAGTGATCGTTCTATCAAGTGAATGTAATAAATACCTATGAACTTAACTCATTGAGGGATTTTGACTTCAGCCTCCGTGGGTAGAGGTCTCTCTTTTTTCTTGCTCTCTGTTAGATGGAGAACAGTCATGATCCTTCGTCTTCGAGCATCGCTACTCCGCCTGATAAGAATTCGACTAATGACCGGAGTCTGCCTACAAACACGACCGAAATGAACCCGGATACCCCATCAATGGAGAACGGAAACAAGGATAATGATGATATTGACTATGCCCAAGCTGCTTACGAAACTATGCTGGAAATTAACAAATAGAAGCAAGCATTGAACAGAATAAACAACTGAAACGAGGGATGGACGCTATACGATCAGTTGCTGACTCAGACCAGCATACTCTCATCTTGGTAAAAAACATTCGGGAAATGAAAAAGAAGATGGAGCACCTAAAGGATAAGCTAGACTTTTATTCCTTACAGTGTGCTAGGAACCCAATAGATAGCATCGCAAAAGATTTAAACTCTAATATTAACACCAAGGCCAAACGAAAGCAGCATGAAATATCTGATAACTCGGATGACAACTGTAAAAACGAGGATGGATTTACTAAGCCCGCTAGATACGCCAAACAAATTACGAAAACTGATAGTCAAATTAAACCTGCTACTCATAATCTAACAAATAGTTTATTGAGATTATGTATTTTTTGTTTGGCTGTACTGTAAAATTAGGTACTCCTTTGACTAAGGTGAAAATAGATCGATGTGTACATGATCAAAGTCAAGGGTGTGCTCGATACTAAGTTTCTACGATTCTCTGATTTGTTTTAAGTGAAGTTACTAAGTTGTTTTAAGTGAAGTTTTAAGTGAAGTTATACTAAGTTTCTACGATTCTCTGATTTGTTTTAGAATTAAACCTGCTACTCATAATCTAACAAATAGTTTATTGAGATTATATATTTTTTGTTTGGCTGTACTGTAAAATTAGGTACTCCTTTGACTAAGGTGAAAATAGATCGATGTGTACATGGTCAAAGTCAAGGGTGTGCTCGATACTAAGTTTCTACGATTCTCTGATTTGTTTTAAGTGAAAATATGTCGAAGTGTACATGGATATCAAGTTTTTGAAATTCTTTGACTTGGTCTACACAAATCCAAAATAACAAGTGAAAAAACTGCACAAACTCGGTATCCATGTACCGCCAAGAATAGCCAATTTTTGAAAAGGGGCACCCGTAAATATATTTTTACTGGCATATCAATTAGTAAAATGCAAAGCATACAACCAGACAATTTTCCAACAAATCACATGAAGCAAAATTGTTTAGTTCCATTTCTAATACGTTCAGATAGAATAAAAGAATCTTTAAAATATGTTATATGTACGGAATAAAAGCTCTCATGGTTAAAAAAAAAGGTCTTGATTTCTCTTTGTCAGGGCCTTTCTCTTTCAAATACGAACATTTATTTCTCACATTAAACTATTAAATTATGACCTGTAAACGAACTTTTAATCATTTTTAATGAAGATCATGAGTTTAATGCTATATATTGATGAAAGGAAGATTAAAGATTCTGAATTAAAAATATAAAAGATAATATATATAAAAGGCTCAATGAATTTCCCGCCAAAGAAAATTCTCTCGCAAGTTGATCCCAAACAACACAACTCTAATTAAGAATTTTGTTTACGCACAAACAGAAAGAAAATTTAAAAATGACACGTTAATTGCGTTGAATTGTATTGGTTGTGTGCGTCATAGAACTAAATAAAACGTAAACGCAGTGTAAAGAGATTTAAATTGGTTATAGTTCATAGAAAATAAATTTTTATTCTTCATTTGTAATATAAACGAAGGTTGCATCACTCATCAATAAAAGAAAGAAAACATTCTCTTCGTACTTCATATAGTAGGTTTTGGTTAGTGAGCTTACTTTGAGTGATATCTATTCGTAGTTTACCTCCAGAATGGCTTCAAATATATTTTTGCGGAACAAAGTTTTACTTAGAAGACATTTGAAAACATTTTGTATTTCTAAAACTATAAATGCAACTTCACGTATATTGAATCAGAATCTTTCTATTCAGGCATATTCAAATCCCCGTGCTGAACCTGAAAACTTTGATACTCTTGGTACATGGGATAACCGAATTGATTTGCCTTTACTTCTACAAGCTAGTATAAAGCATGGTAAACCTATACCAAAAATTTCAATAGAGAATGTAGGTACTGCAAGTGTTATAGGCAGGAGAACTACAAATGAAGATAGATACAGGTGAAAATAATTGTATTTAAATTGTTTGTGTAATGAATAAATATTTTGTTTCATTTTAAATATATTCTCCTTTAATTTTAAGAATTTTTTTTATATATTAGCTTTGTAATTTTATATTAAAATATTACATTTTTGTTCGTTGGTAATATTTATTGAATTATTTTCAGCAGTTAAAAAATAAGCATATAATGTGGCTGTAAAAAAATTATTGCATTATTTTTATTGAGATTTTTGTATCTTATGCATATTTTATCATATATATGTAAGATAAAATTATATGAATCAAAATTATAATATAACTATAAACATTAATTCTTAATTCTTCCTCTTTATTCTAAAATCGTAATAACTTCTCTGCATAGGGTCATTCAAATTAATCATGCGATCTTACGTAACCGTTATTTCCTTTGCTTTTATTATGACAGGGAATATGTAAGATAAAAAATATGAAAGCAAACTTCTAAACTTAATTCACTATAACTTCCATTATTTTCTATTTCATTTGAGAACTTCCTCTATCTGTCCTAAAAATAGCGCTTAAGTCTAAACTGCGTCATTCAAATTAATCATGCGATCTTACTTAACCCATAATGCAGATCCCTCTCGACCAATCACCAAATTGCAAACAAAAACTTTCCTCTTCGCATGCTTCCATCCTTCATAACTACACACTTCAGCTTTTGCCCTCTAATCTGCTAAGATGTAATTTCGCTGGCTTGCTTTCTATCTCAACAATATCAAAAATGTAAATCTTCTGTGGAAAGGCACGACTAGAGTGCCAAGTGATTGTGGCCACAAATATCAATTGGAAATAAAAATGGAATTAAAACTGCCTCGACTGCCAAGTTCTTTAAATACAGTCAAAAGTCGTTAATCCGGACTCGTCGGGACTTCGGCGATTCCGGATTATAGATCATCAGTTTAAATCTCGTAAGATGGCATGCAGAAATTCTAAAATTAAAAAATATGAAACTGTAATTATGAAATAAAGAACAATTATGATCTAAAGGGTATCAAAATTTACAAAAAAAAAAGCTTAATATTTATTTGTTTACTTTATTAAACATTTCTCTCAATGTAAGTTTGTTTAAGTTGCTTCATTTTATGTGATAATACTTCTCTTTAATTCTATAAAACAGACATAATTTCTTGTTCAGTTACAAAGTTCCGCTGTTCAAGTCCCGTAACTACTGCTGTGCCGAGAATACCGACTAACTGGTCAATCGAAATTTTTTCGTTTTCACTAACCTCTCTGTCACATTCTTCATGTCTTTATCCATTTTTTGCAGCAATTCCAATATTTGTTTGTTGGACATCAAAACATACTTTCGTTTTGTAGATCCTTTGGAAGTTCCTGCATCGGAAATTCTATTTGACATAATCGAAAGTTCAAGTTTACTTTTATAAAATTGCTCTTACAGTCTGCTAAAAATAATAAGCGGGATCCAATTCGAAGATTAAGGAACAATGCAATCATTAACATTAACTGAAATAGATAATTAGATAATTTTAGCTTACACCATCCGCTATACATTAAACGCGCAGGCGAAAACGTATTCTGCAGTTGCGCACATGCATATGCGCAGTAGTCAAGGTCTTACGCGCTCGTGTAAAACGCCTGTGCGCATGTGCCACCGCGGCGCATGCGCAGAAAGTTTTTAGCTTTGAGGTCCGGATTATAGATCATTCCGGATTATGGGTGTCCAAATTAACGACTTTTGACTGTACGCAATCAAAATTCTTCTTCAATATGGATTTAGGCATGCATCGACACTGCTCTGTCCTTTCCTTGTGCTTTAATTATGACAATTATGACATATATATATATATATTTATTTATTAAATTAGACCTGCTGATTAAGTGCATTGAATGTTGTCATTAAAATGTCAGTATACTTTTAGTTCTAAAATTTATCTTGTCTTTGTTCCAAATGATATCAGTACAAAGTATCTTATGAACTATATAAGTAATCCATGTAAATGAATGATGCAATGTCATATATTCCGTTGGTTATATAAGATTGCATTGTTATAAACCCTAAATTTTTTTTTATTTGCATTGAATGATGCAGTGTTTTTTTTTTTTAACTGAACACTGAATTTTTTTGCTAATGAAGGTTAACTGGAGATTGTTCCTTCCCCCAGCTAACTTTTGCTTCCCCTTAACTAAATTTTACAAAATAAATAAAGAAAAATCATTGTAACACCGATATGAGAATAACTCCATCTCTCATATTGAAGTAAGAGGTGCATTTTAATGTTCCTGTTATGTGATATTACTCGAATTTAAATATACATTTTTTAAGAGAACAGTTTTTAAATGTTTACATATGTGTAATAAGGTTAATAATCATTCAGTACACTCTGATTATCTGCACTTTCGCCAAAAAGATGCTATATAATTGGAAACTTTGTAGAGCATTCCTAAACTCATTGGAGAAATACAATCTTGAAGGGTGACAAGCAGGGCTTAATTTCTAAGAGTAGAAGTACCGGAGCCCTATGGAAGACCATCAGCTAAGAGGAACAAGAGTAAATAAACAAATAAAATGACTCTTAAACTCATTAACAATTTTAAAATTAAATAGTTAATTATTATCAATTTAATTAATGTTTATAAATTATTATTTATTGTAATAATTAAAGATTGAAGTAATTAAATAATTAAAATTGAATAAAATGTAAAGAGATAAATTGAAATTTAATAAGCAATTTTTTAATATAATTTTATTGTTAAAATAAAATTTTCGAGATAAAATTTCTACTGAAATTGTTATTCAGCTACATAAAAGAAGTGCCGCAGCCTTCTTATTCAGTGCTCCAGGGTGTTCCGACTAGAATTATGATTTATTACAAAAACTAAGAAGCATCGGAGCCTAAATCCGGTGGGCTCCGGCCCAATTTCTTTGATCGTAAGGGGGGGGGAGTTCTTTTATCAACACAAAAATTAAATATACTTGAAGTATATAGCTCATGAAAATTCCAGGGCGAAACAGAATGAGGGTATGAGTGGGTGGAAACAAAAAATGAGGAGAATCTTGGTGAGAAAGAACATTTTCTTTGACCGTGGCTCTCTGCTGATACAATTATGCCATCAAGCAGATATGTATCAGGTGTAAAATGAGTCCTGAATGACTCCTAAGGATGAATGTAAAGTTCCTGGTTACGCTTCCCCCTCATTACTGGATACTGTGGGAAGACGATGTATAGGACGTGCTTAAGCAGTTTATCTCCGTATTTCACTCTTATTGTACTCGCTGTCACATAACGCACATTTAACAACACAAATTTTCCTTTCTGTGAGGATAACTAACTGTAAGCATCTATAACAATACACTAGATACGATGGCAGGGCGAGAAATTTACCCATTCTTAAACAAGTTTCCCCAAATTTATTGCCCTTCTTAAAGGAAAAGGCTTCCACGTGTGAGTGAGGGGACTTTACTTGAAGGTCTCATGTTCTCGTGAGTTCGTATTTCTAGGAAAATAGAGTATTGCAAGGTCTGCTTATTGTTAAACTAAAATGTTAGGAATTCTAAATTTTTTGCCCATTAAATTGTGGTTCAGTTTTATAAAAAGAAGTACTGGAGCTCATTCTATTTAGGGCTCCGGTGTGCTCCGGCTAAAATCGTAATTTATCATAAAATTTTAGAAGTACCGGAGCTGGGCTCTAGTGGGCTCCGGCGCAATTTAAGCACCGGTGACAAGGGATGGAGGCAGGAGTCCCACAATGTCAATGTAAACGTGCTTGAAACTTTAAGAAACAACATTGAACCAGAGTGATGGCTGAGACTAGAGTCGCCGACCATTCCATCCGTTCAGTGTTGGCACTAATCATTGCTAACACTGAAATTTATCTAAATGTGCTATAGCACAGAACATCAGCTCGAGATGGACGTGACAGTACCTTTACAGTCTCTGTTGAGCCAGGTCAGACCACTGAACAGAATGCTGGTTTTTAATCTTGTGAAGGCAGCTAATCTCTCTCAGACTATCCACTCCTGACATATAAACGGAGTGACTGACTGTCTGGGGGAGAGGTTTGTGTCTGATTAGTTGCCAAAGCAGGAGAGCCAATTCCTATGCGACTGACTGATTAATTTATTGCTGGACTACCACACAGTGTGCAGTTTTTCTGGCTCAATCAAATTTCCCACAATCAAATCTGCCCGTAGTATCTAGAGGGAGTGGAGGAGGTGGAAAAAAGGGGGGGGGACTGAGGGATCACGCAATCATGGACAGCAAGTGGAATATCCTAAGTTAATTGAAGAAAAAGCATAATGTCTTAAAGTAACAGTACAATACAAACACAGGAAGAGTAAAAATATAATGGAAAAATATATACAATATGCACACTATATACAGGATATTGCACTATATTGCACACTACCAATCATTAAGTAGGAAAGTAGGAAAGAGTCATTTGCAAGGTGGGCCGCTAGTGGTCAAATTTCACAGTCCTCGTCTGGAATTGTATAATTTAGTGTGTTTAAATTAGACAAATGTGCACAGTTAAGAGCTTTCATGAAGAAATTCCTGTCAAGTTTGTGCAAATGCTGCTCAATTGTACTAAGTTTCAAGTCTCTGTGTAGAGTGGCATTGCTGATGTAGTAATGAGCGTTAGTAATCTTCTAAGTATTCTATTCTGAATTACTTGCAGTATGTGCAGGTCTCTCTTTTAAGCCGCATTCCAGGCTGGCGAAGCATATGTAATGATAGGCCGTATGTTCATTATATACACAAGCCGCTTTCGATGCAGATCCAATTTTGAAAACTTGTTAAGAAGGGGCTTTAAATTGTTGATTAAAGTGAAAGCCTTTTTCCTCACATTAGTGATATGGTCGTTCCAACTTAGTTTTTGATTCAGTACTACGCTGAGGTACTTGGCTTTTGTGAATTGCGGCACATGTTCATTGAAAAGATAAAGTTTTCTTTTGAGTGGGGTCCGTGTATGTTTTCTCCTGATGACCAGTAGTTGCGATTTTTGCGCATTGATCGAT